TAATTATAATGTATGTCATCAAAGATAGGATGACGATTTGTAGAATGTTCTTCAAGATTTTGAAAATTGTGGTTAGCCATTAATCAAAATTGTGAACTTTTTAAAAATGAGCATCTTGCTCTAATACTAATTGATAGCCCAGGAATAAGTAACCAAGATGGAGTGAATTTGTTATTAAAACCTTTTTCGAAAAATTAATTCGAGTTTAAGCAAACTGAATATGAATAAGCCAATCAAACAAAAATGTACAAATATGAAAGCAATAAGTAAAAAAGAACATAGTGTGCAAACGATATACTTGTAGAGGTTCGATCTCAAACAATGATCTGCGTCATTCATTACCAAACTCTGTGTCACGAGTAAGGTCTTTTCACTATATTTGATTGATTTATAGTGCAATCCAAATTCTTACAATGTTTTCAGTGACTTACAAACAAGGAGTATCGATCCTTATACAATATTAAGTTTTACGGGATCTCAATATGACCCACAAATTTAAAGAGAATTGATTTTACAATTTGAAACTTCTATTTTAATAAATGATATGATCAAATTAAGTACAAATAAAAAAAAGGCTAACAATTTAATGAATAGCAATGAATGAAACTCAAGTGTTAGTAGAGAAAAAATTTGATGAGAAGAATGATTTTTAAAAGTTGATTTAATCAAAGGTTTTTCAAAGTAAATTATTTGATAGAGATATATAAGATGTATCATCAATATAATTTGGCTCAGGAATATCTCAGTTAAATACCCTCAAAAGTGTTGTAATGAATGGAAAGTGAAATGGTATTTATAGCAGTCAAAACGTCAAAATTTTTTACCAATCGAACAATCCATCTGAATCCTGAACCGGACAACCAAATAGCCGTTGTTGCATCAGAAATCAAAACGGTTAAAAAAATGTTCGTTGGGCCAACCGAACGTCCTCTTGGAGTTTTTCCGAATTTTTCCTTTTTCATTGTTTTGAAAAATGTAGGCTTTTGAAAGACGTTTTCACTTTATTTTTCAAGGTAAGTAACATTGTAAAAATTTTAAATATCAAGTCGAAACACTTACTTTTTGAAAAATAATTTTTATGCAAATGTTTTTATGAAATGATTTTTCTCATGCATAAAAATTCATTCATTGAGTTTGTAATTATTAATTGCTAAGGATTAAAACATTTTACCTTTACATATGAATCTGAAACATCTAAATCTAATATTTTCGATATTTGACTATAGAATTTCTTTGTCTTTGAGTGATTTGATGTGAATGCTCGGTTTTCATCTCGATTTCTATTGATCGTCCAATGCGAATCTTTTGGTAATGATCTTCTTGTCTCCAATTGATCAACTTTGCAACCATAGGTATGAAGACTCGAATTCAATTGTTAGAAATAAAAAAGCAATTTATTTGTTATAATTAAAACATGAAGTCAACCATAGGACAACAATGATAAGGGTGCCATAGACAAATATCAAAGTATTATGGATATTTCTTTAAAGAAAATAAATTGTGTGCATAATTGTTCTATGCATGAATTGTTAATACGTGAAGCACGTAGTGGGAAATTGATGAGGCATTTCATTATTAGGAAAACCTTAGGAATATTGCATGAACGCTTTTATTGACCTATAATGAAAATTATGTAAAGGACATTTGTAGCAGATATATTACTTGTAAGAATGCCAAATTTAAAGCTTTACCACAGGGTTTGTATACACACTTACTTGTTCTTAGTGAACCATGAATTGATGTGTATATGGACTTTGTATTAGGGCTGCATAAGATTAAAATGGGTAGAGATTTCATACTTGTGGCAGTGGATAAACAGATGGATAGATCGAGGTAGTTAATAGAGCAATAACTCAATTTTTGAGCATTATAAATAATAAAAATGTGAAAAGTTGGGAGGATTTTCTACCATTTGTAGAATTTGCATACAATAGAGCCATGTATTCTACTACTTATTTTCCTTTTGAAATTGTATATGGTTTTAATCCACTAACTTCGTTCGATTTAATTCTTTTACCTGTAGATGAAAAATGTAGTTTAGATGGGAAGAAAAATGCTGAATTAGTAATGTCAATATACGAGTAGGTTCGTCTTCAAATTGAAAAAAAAGAATGAAAATTATGTTTTTCCAACTAATGATGGAAGGAGACTTTGTAATATTTGAACCAGGTGATTGGATTTGGGTATACATGCGAAAAGAACGATTTCTAGTCAAAGAAGGTCCAAATTACATGGTAAAGGAGATGAACAATTTCTAGTCCTTGAGAAAATTATTGACAATGCCTACAAACTAGAACTTCTAGATAAGTATAATGTGTCTGCTAATTTTAATGTTGCCGATCTTTCTCTCTTTGATACAGGTGAAGATTCGAGGTTGAATCTTTTTGAAGAGGGATGGAATGATGAGAATCATGGAAAGCAAGCTAACAAGGATCAAGAGTAAAGAAAATCAAGGAAGTCATGCAAGGACTCGTTCAAACTACATGGGTTAAGAGTTCAAGTGCAATGAGTAAGACACGAAGTTCCAAGATGGGCACGAAAGAATCGAACTTAATGCATTTGATTCAAGCTAATGAAGAAGGAGCTGATTCGAAAATCGATGCTCATACAAGTCTTTAATTTTCTTGCCAGGCAAGTATCAAAATTGTACAATCCGAGAACAAATTGATTGAACCATGCCCACACAAGGATTAATAATTCAATAAAGGAATTTAGTATTTTGTTTTGATTAGAACTCTATTTTTTTAGTATTTTCTTCATGTTTTATGAATTAATTAGATTTGTTTTAGTCCGCCTATATAAGGTTTTAATCATTGTACAAAGAATATGACATTATTTTGAGAAATTAATTATAAAGTGAGAATTCACTTTCAATCTTGTTATTAATTAAACGATCCAGAATTTATCAAAAAATTTCTATCATTGTCTTTGTGACGTTCAATCTTTCTAACATTGACTCTTGATTCAAGAAATTATTGGGTCAAGGCTCCTCATTTGAGTTTAGCTTTCTTCAGGATCGTATCAAATCTTGTGTGAATTCCAGAGTACATTTTGTAGCGGGGTTCACATTAGAAAAACATCCGCAATCGAGCGTCCAAAATATACAATGAATTGTGGGTTTGATTAAAGAGGAGACATAATAATAAAGAAGGCTAATGGATGCAAAGCAGAGGCAATATGGATTCCACGGACTCTTAACGGGAATCACCATGGATTTCAGTACACTAAACTTAGCATGCACACAATGAATTGCTCGATAATTGTCACAAAGCACAAATATCAACGAACATTTGGAAATTGGACCTATTCATAACTCTCAATATAATATGGAAAGAATGTCTACTCCCAAAAATGACTAAACGTCCCTAAAATCCGTCGTGAATAGGATCATTACATAATGAAAAAAGGGTTGAAAATCAGATTTCCAAACTTCTAGTCTAATGAAAAGCCGCTCAAATTAAAACACATCCCCGAATCGGACCTCTCAAACAGAAATTAAAATCTAGCTATATTTTAAAAAAAATTTATTTTTACAATTATTTTAAATTAGAATCTAAAGGTTAATTTACAATTGAAACTTATCTTTTTGTTGAAAACTTTTAAAAAAATGTATAAGGTTTCAATAAATCTGTTTTAGATATGTATTATTTTTAACTATTAAATGATTTTTTGATTGATTAAAAATTAAAATAATATTAAAATAAAAAAAAAGTCTTTTTACATTTTTTTACGTCTATATTTAGTCTAGTTCATAAATTGATATCCATACAACGTCACGCATTACGTTTTTTAGAACAATGCTAAATATATATTTTGATGACAAGGAGAAATTTATTGGTAGGAAGACGACAAATTCCGAGGAGAAAGCGACTCAAAAGCTGGCACTTGACCCGCAAGTTTGAAACTCTCTCCCAAATATATATATTATTCTCTTGACTAATCCAAAAATAGCCACAATTTTTTTCAGGATGGTTTCCCCACTAACATCACTCTGTCCGCACCTAGCTACCGCATATCATTTCATTGACGGATTTTGTCACTTATATAAAAAAAAAAATGTACATAATGAATTATATAATATAATGAGAAAAAAATTGAATGAAAAAGTTGATTGTATTTTAAATTATTAAATGGTGGAATGTCACGTGACATTATATAATTCATTATGTAAATCTTGATATACACATAACAAGTTCATTTCATGATTTAAAATTCGAAGCTGATTTAAGCGAAACTTAAGCGTACTTAATCGAATACTGATCATATACATTCAAAATTTATAAAAGCATTGTTTAATACACAAAGGTTTTGCATAAAAATAATAAAAGAAATATATGCATGTACATGAACGGTAGATAAAATAGATATGTTAACCCGAAATTTGTTTTTAATCTTGTCACATGTACATCAAGTTTGACATCGTTGTGAAGTGACAATTTTTTATTCATTAATTTTAACAACATTTTAAACAATCAATAATACGAATTTTTGTCACGTCGACTGTCAAATTTGTTGTGCTTATTTGAATCGCCGTCAACAGTTAATGCTATCGTGCATAATAAGCAAAACACATTTAAAAATTGGCAGATGATTGAAGCATCAAATCAAAGTTATTCCAAAGTGCTCAATCCCTCCCACGTGAACCACATTACTCGCTCAGTCCAAAGAAAATGAATATTTCTGTTGCACAAACATCAAACGTAATAAAGCCGGCCCTGTTCGAACCGCTTGGATCAGCACTTCATCCACAGTCAGTGATTCTAACAATTTAAGATTGACGCTGATAATTATTCGTTGGGGCCAAACTCCATAAACACACAAATATGCACTAATAATTCAAGTTACATGAACTGAGTTGTTTCAAGTTACAATACATAATCATAATAAAGCTCGAAAAACATACATACGTATGTACAAATGCTAATATTAGATCAAACAAAACTCTTTTTGTCTGAAAACAAGAGCCTAACCAAGTCCGAACCACGCCGCTTCAAAAATGCTTACATCCACAAAGGTGGAGGCTCGTTCAAGTCTATGGCCAACCCACGTCTTACTATACCAAAATATCTCGCTTCGCCATCGCCGGAGCCGGACTCCTCCACCGGAGTTCCAGAAGTACCGCCCACTTCCGGCGTGCTGGGATCACCAGCCCTGAAGCTCACATCATTGATCGCATTCACCCCAGAGCGGAGAAAGTTGTTGATCATGAGCCGGCCAGAGGGCGATACACTCCGGTGTTCGGTCGGAACGTTGATGTTCAAAGTCAGTCCTGGTACTGGTGGAGTGGGAAAGTTGGTTTTAGCTTTGGCACCACGGAGGGACCTGGCGGCGCCGTCGTAGGCTAGTGCAGCCTCCTCCGGAGTGTCGAAAGTGCCCAACCAAACCCGGGTTTTCTTCCAAGGGTCACGTATCTCAGCTGCATAACGGCCCCATGGGCGCTTTCTGACTCCTCTATAATGACCCTCACGTGTGGACGCCATGGGAGAAGAGAACAATGTTATTTGAGTGAGAAGGATGGGTTTGAGGGGGAGAGAGACAGATTTGTTTTGCGGCAATGTGTATTGTATTGTATAAAAGTGGAGGGACCCACAGAGTAGTCTCCAGTAATCGTCGGCTGGACGGCACGAACCTAATTGTGTGTACTACCTCACCTGCTCTTAGTTCATTCTTCGTCGTTGGATTTCTATAGGATTTGGTGTACGGTGTAAAATGACAATGGTAAATGTAAGGAATCCATTCCTCACAGGGTTTTGTAAGGGGCTGTTTGTCACATTTGCTTGTTTTTACAACAAGCGCCAGTTTGTATAAAGTTTGAACCAGGTTGAATGACATCCACAATTTTTTAACAACATATTTTATTAAATTTTTATCAAAATTTAGTAAAAATTTTTGATGTTGATATTGATTTTTGGAGGATGTGTGATTAAAAAATAAGAAAAGTTTCGAATTATATGCAAAATATTTTATTGTGAAAACTTGTAGTTGAAAAAAAAATTTGTTTTCATGATTGTTAAACAACTATACCAAATGTGGGCTAAAACATTTTAAAAAAGAGATTCTTGGTCGTTGGATTTGTTAAAGATCATATTTTTAACAGATTTTGATAAAATTTAATAAAATAAGTAGTTAAGAATTGATATAGTTGTTTTTATCGTAAAATGTGTACTTAAAATTAATTGTTATTTTTTACTTATATTTTTATCAATTCATTTTGTTAAATGAAACAGGGACCTGTAGCTTGTTTGATATCACACTTTAATTTAATTATATATTTCATAAGATCCATAAGTTTTATCATTTTTTTTCATTTAATCAAGAATTTATTAAGAATTTTGTCAAACAACCGTTTAATTTAACCATATTCGAAGAAGAAAAGAGAAAATAACTAGGAATATTGTGTCCAAGTGAAAGGCCAATTGACACATACGGAAATGTTGAAGGTACTTGTTCGTAACATACAAACGCGTATTTGCTCGAATTTCGTTCGAATTGATGTAAAATTATTGGAATCTATCAAATAGTATGAAAAGTGAAATTTTTTATTAATCAAGAAAAACGAATGTAATATCATCACCAACTTAGCACGTATTTAAAGACTCAAAACAAATCATAATCACATTGATATTCTGCTTGAACCCCATTCTTTTGTCAAAATGCATTTTGGAATAGTGAATGTATGGTTAAAAAATAAGGAAAAATTTTGAATTTGCATGTAATATTATTTTAATGAATAGTGTGTAGTTTAAAGATAGAGAGAAAAAAATGTATTTTAAAATTAATGGGGATAAAACATGCTCTAAATAAAACTAAAAAAATTACAAGACAAAAATACTCTTAAATTAATTAAAAACACAAAACATTAAAACTGGCTTCTAAATGACGGAATTTGACATCGAAAGTTTGATAATGTTGCCCAAAAGCCATTATGTCACCAGACAAAAAAATGTGTAGAATCGAAAAACGCTTTTGATTTGTACTCATTGACGAAAATTTGACTACTGAATCAAAAATTACGCACATTTTCATAAATTATTCTTATTTCCTTTCTTTTCCAATTGATTTAAAATTTTATGTTCTAATTAAATTTGCATCACCAATTAGCCACAACAAATCCCAGTGGAGAATGGAACATGATGTGGCCTTGGTGTAGGGAGCAATCGAGCAAGAGGATAAACCGATAAAGAAAATTGAAATAGAATTAAACTACTTGTACAATGATTTTGACAATGTGTGAGGTGTATAGAACATTGCCATTGAATTCAAAAACAATCTTTCAAATCAATGGACTTATTGTCTGACAACTCACACATTATCAAATTTATTGTCAAATTCAATGAACAATCAAATCAATGGACATAATGCCTGTCAACTCACACATTATCAAATTTATGGTACAAATAACATGGTTCATTGAAATATATGGAAGGATAATTCCACTTGTACATCAAATTTTGTACATCAAGGGATACATCTCTCTCACATGGGAGGTGGGACCCATTGAAATAATGTTTTTTTATTCGAGTGGACCCCACCCTCCATGTGAGAGAGGTGTAAACCCCGATGTAAATCTTGATGTACCACCAGCATGNCATCAATAATTTCTTCTTCTTTTTCAACCACAAATTTCCCATCATATCACTATTCAAAATCAATTCTTTCTCCGAAAATCTCTCCCAAACAAGCTCTTAAGTTCTTGCTGATATTTTTTCCTCGATATTTTTTATTAACTTTTTAATTATATATTCTCAAGACATATTAAAATCGAAATTTTATCAAAAATTGATGAAAATTATTATTAAACCATAGTTAATTCCATAAAATGTCTCAGAAACAAAGATTTATTTATTTTTCAAACAAATTAAGAAAATAAAATTAATATTGTTGAAAATATAGTTNAAACAAAGATTTATTTATTTTTCAAACAAATTAAGAAAATAAAATTAATATTGTTGAAAATATAGTTCTTTTTTATGTTTTTCAAAATATACACATACATTAAATAATAGTTTAAATATAATTAGAGTTTGTTTGAACCCCATTTTTTGCTCATAATACATTTTGGAATATTATTTATATGAATAATGTATGATTAAAAAATAATAAAATTTTTTGAATTTACATGTAATATTATTTTATTAAATAAGTTGTAGTTGAAAATAAGAAAGAAAGAAATATAATTTGAAAATAATGGAGATTAAATAAGGGCTTAGTTTATATTTATTGACAACAATGTATATTAAATAGAGATATATTTTTAAAAATAAAAATAAAAAATATATATACTTTCAATAAAGGAAGTGACCTATAATTTGAAAAAGGAATTCAAATTCATGTATATAGGACAAATGGTGTAATTAAAATTAATTATTAATTTTGATTTAAATTTAAATTTTAATACTCATCAAGGGTTAAATCTACCGTGGACATGACAATAATTATTGTCAATGGATGATGTCACTGTCAACGGATAGTATGACAAAATTCTTCTTTTTTTTTCTTAAACTTCTTAAAATTGAGTGACCATTGATCAAATTTAGCTCTCAAAGGAGACATTTGAGTCACTTTGGAGTAGGGATGGGCATAGATCAGATTGGATCGACCTCTAGCTCAACCAGATCACCAAGCCAACCATTCGGGTCGGGCAAAGTCACAACCCAAAATCAACCCTAGTCGAATGGGGTTGTTGGTTTGAAAGAATACGCGTGTAACATAGCAAATGGTAGCTCAAGTTAAAGTGCCCTAGTGAGGTTGACCAAGTCATACATGTGGGACAATGGTTAGATCACATACAATTTTATAGTGACAGAATGAGGGAAATCATAGCAATTGAAAATATTTTGGGATGAGATTGGTTATGGAAAATGGTTTCAAGGTCATAGACTCATAGATTTCTATTGGAAGGATCCATAGCATAAACGTTAAATACTGATGGTTGTGCATAATTGGATTACAGAACTAAGTGGGCATAACACTCGAGAATGAACCACTTTATTAATTTGTTCTTACTTGCTTTTGATTTTGTAATGCCGTGTGTCCTTTCACGTGATAACTGATCATTGTATGCAACTTATATGCTTGTTGTGATATTACATTTAATCTTTTAATTAATAAATTTATTGTTATGGTGGGGTAGTTACGTTTTGCATGGAAATGACGAATTAATATAATATACATGTAATTTAATTGAGTTTGAAATAAATTATGCTATATAATTTATACTTATATTATAATGTTATAATTGGTTTATAATGACTCGTCTTCGAAAACACTTCTATTTTCCTGTTAAGTAAATTCTATTAGTTTAATTTAGCCCCTGTTTGCCTCCCATTAAATTTTCTACACATCATACAATGTCAAATTTAATGAAAAACTAATTTAGCCCCTGTTTGCCCCCCATTAAATTAAATTTTTGGGGGGTAAATAATTTTTAGAATAGTGATTGATGGGAGATGTGTGGTTGAAAAGTTTTTGATTTGTGTGTATTATTATTTTATTTGATGAATGTATGGTTGAGATGAAGAGAGAGAAAAAATTAATGTAATGAAATGTAATATAATGGGGGCCAAACAGGGGCTTAGTTAATGATTACACAAATAGTGCGCCGATTGACCATCTAAACAAAACCAATATGGTCTATTGATCTCTATATGGAATGTCCAAGAATAAAATTTGAATTTTCCTAATTGTAGCATCATCCTTTGCAAATTAAAATAAACTTTCTTTATTGACCCCCAAGGCATAGCTCAGTGGTGCATCGGACAGGAGTTAGGTAATCTCAACTGAGCTGACGACTGTAGTGTGAGGGTTCGATTCCTACCTCTTACAAGATATGGAATTGGACTATTTGTGAGTACCAGTATGGCAGCTCTTGTACCCTAATCTGTTGATGTACATCCCGCGATTTATCTCATCCACAATACTCTAGGAGGTGGGGGGCCCTCAAAGTTGGGGTTCAACCTTTAAAATAAACTTTCTTTATTACTCAAAAAATGAAAAGAAGAAGAATAAAAAGTGCAACTAATTCTCTTCCATTCTTTTTTAGTTTATATGATTTTCTACATCAAAACCTATTTTCTTAAAATCCATTTGAACACCAAAAGCAAATAGGACCTTGAGGAAATTTATCGATGCGAAGAAATATACAATCACTCGTCATTATACAAATGGAGGTTAGCTTTCTTTAAGTTATTATTTTTATTACTATTATTATATTAAACTTATTGTTAAAATGACCTTGTTAATATGTGTAAATAAGAAAAGAGAGAATAAAAGTTAATAGATTTGTGTATATTATAATAAAAATCAAAGTCGTATATTTATGAGAAAGGATTAGGGATACAATGGTGATAATTTCTAGGGTTGCAGAGATACAATTATCATTTACTAATAAACTTACCATTTACAACACTCTACCCTTGAATGATACATTACAAAATATCTGCTTAGTTAAAATTTTATTTGATAAAAACTTAATGTGACA